AGTTTTAAATTCTTTGATAGGTTGCAGAACTAAAAAGATAGTACTACCATAGAAACAATCAATTGACTGAAAACCTGGTTGACATCCATCAATACATTCTCCTGTTTTACTGTTACAGTTTAAATTATCATTACATTTTCTATCTGAACATTTCTTACTGCAGCCTCTTCCATACAAACCAGTCGCACATCCTTCTAAAAAAACAGAAAACTGAAGAAATCCTACACTGAATTCTGAGAATCATACACTGAATTCTAAGATATCCTACACTGAATTCCGAAACTAACAAAAATCTAGATGTTTATCTATGCACAACATAATTTCTGAAGTCAATAAATATAGATTTCTGAAATACAATCATGCTATTACCTTGTTTACAGTCAACTGAAATATAACCATCTTTACAACTGCCTTCACAACTACCATTAATATTATTACATGGTGATGTTTTTACTAAACAATTTCTTTCTGAACAATTTTCTAAACATTGATCACCATATGTTCCCTTCGTACAAGCTAAAGAATATATAAGGTTTAGTTTTGTCACTTCAGTTATTGGTTTGTGTTATCTCATGATAAGATCTTGTATCAAAAAGGTTACTGAAAAGCAGTAAACTTACCAAAGGATGCAACACAAAAAATTCGGTCTTCGGCGCTCATAATGTTGAAATATCATAGAATTTCACAAAAGATAGCTACATTGCTCTCAAAATAACGATCCCTTGATATTCTACCTTATTGCGTGAAATCGATTTGTCTTGGCAAACGTCATCAAATGTATTTACCCTCCGGAACATGATCGTTGTATATTACCTTGAGTACAATCTAGAATTGTTGGACTATAACCCACAGAACATCCACCAATACATTCTCCTGTCACATGATCACACATTGAATTCTTCAGACATTTTCTGATATTACAATTCTTCTGACAACCAGCACCATAGAAACCATCAGGACATTCTAATGTATAAAACAAAAAAGTATATGTAAAACGTTTATCAATGAATTCTATCACATGAATTCCCTCAAATTTGATGATTACTTTGCAAGCTCAAGAATCTTATTTATAACCTGATTTACTTACCTACTGTACAATCATCTTCTTTATAACCTGGTTTACTTACCTACTGTACAATAATCTTCTTCATAACCTGGTTTACTTACCTACTGTATAACCATGTTCTATATAACCTGGTTTACTTACCTACTGTACAATCATCTCCTCTATAACCTGGTTTACTTACCTACTGTACAATCATCTTCTTCATAACCTGGTTTACTTACCTACTGTACAATCATCTTCTTCATAACCTTGTTTACTTACCTACTGTACAATCATCTTCTCTATAACCTGGTTTACTTACCTCGAGTACAATCATCTTCTTTATAACCTGGTTTACTTACCTACTGTACAATCATCTCCTCTATAACCTGGTTTACTTACTTACTGTACAATCATCTTCTTTATAACCTGGTTTACATACCTACTGTACAGTCATCTTCTCTATAACCTGGTTTACTTACCTAATGTACAATCATCTTCTCTATAAACTGGTTTACTTACCTAATGTACAATCATCTTCTCTATAACCTGGTTTACTTACCAACTGTACAATCTTCTCCTCTATAACCTGGTTTACTTACCTACTGTACAGTCATCCTCTCTATAACCGGGCGTACAGCCATTATAACATTTCCCTGTCAT